CAGTTCAGTGGAAATAGTCACTACACCACTTGGTATGTCAGTTTACTCGACATATTTGGACCTTCCAAATGTAAATGCCATTACTGAGACAGGTATAGAAGCTAGTACTTATTCACCAGAGCAATTACGAGATTACCAGTCTAAAGACCCAGACTTGGAGTTGGTATGGTTTAGGGACAAAACAGAACCATCAGAGGCTACAATATTCCGATGCTGTCCAATAGCTAAGAAATATTGGATAAACAAAGATATGTTCTATTTAGATGATAATGGAATATTGAGAAATTTGGACAAGAAAGACAGAACACCAAGACTTGTGGTACCAAGAGATCTTGTTGAACAAGTGATATCATTATGTCATGATATTCCTGCTACAGGTCACCAAGGTATGAATAGGACCACATTAAGAATCAAGACGAAATATCAATGGTATGGTATGACACAACGAATAAGAGACTTTGTCAAAACATGCAGTACATGCAATTTACACAAGAAACCAAACAGGAAGGCTAAATGTCCGCTTACCCAGTTTCATGCAGGTGCACCAATGGAGCGTGTCCACTTAGATTTTCTAGGACCACTGCCAGAGACGAAATTTGGGAATGCCCATGTACTAGTTATGGTTGATCAGTTTTCCAAATGGATGGAATGTATTCCGTTACCAGCACAAACTGCAGAACATACGGCAAGAGCTGCTGTGAACGAGTTTTTCTCTCGTTTTGGATTTCCATTTCAGGTTTTTACAGACCAAGGACGCAATTTTGAAAGCAAGCTTTTCAAATCCATCTGTGTAATCTTGCAAATGCACAAAGCAAGAACTACTCCGTACAGACCATCCTCAAACGGACAAGCAGAACGTTGCAACAGAACCTTAATGGACGCCGTCCGTTGCTTCGTTTCTAAACAACAGAACAATTGGAATGAACATTTGGCACAGTTGGCAGGAGCTGTTCGATCGTCAGTTAACAGAAGTACTGGTTTTACGCCAAACATGCTGATGCTTGGGAGAGAGGTTAACCAGCCTGTTGATTTGTTGTACAGTGTACCTGGTGCTAAAACAGACGAGTCACAAGATGAGTATGTGATAAGACTCAGAGATGCCATAACATCTGCACATGAAATAGCGCGCAACACGCTAAAAACTACACAGAATACCATGAAACGTGATTATGATGTACGTATTCTGGAGAGAGAATACAAAATAGGAGATTTAGTTTATGTTTTAGACACGGCAAAAATTAAAGGTAGAGCGAAGAAATTGGACCCACTTTGGAAAGGTCCAGGACTTGTATGTGCCAAATTATCTTCGTATGTGTACAAGATAAAATTACAAAAAACTGTACTAACAATAAATCATGACCGTTTAAAGCCATGTAAAGACAGAGAAGTACCACCCTGGTTAAAACAGTGCCAGCACCGGTTACAGGACGGTGAAGATGTAACCAAGGCGACTAATCCAGACTTGTACTGTTTGTGCAGAAAACCAGATGATGGACTGTTTATGATACAGTGTGATTTTTGCGATGAGTGGTACCATGGAGCTTGTGTAGATTTGACACCAGAGCTGGCGGACACTATGGTAAAGTTTAGATGTCCACGGTGCCAGGACTCTGGCACCGCAAGGTAAATTTATATTTTAAGGCAATACCAGTAGCGTGATGTACATTTTTAGCATATGTTATAAATAATTTTTATTGTGTTTTTCAGATTGTGTATTTTGGATTGATTAATCATGAGTAAAAGGCCAAGTAAGGGTGATGAGAACAGTTGGCCTTCACCTTCAGAGGCATATGAGGGGACACCATTGCCTTTCCCCCCGGGGGAACAGCGGGGAGATGTACGTGAAAGTCACGATAAAGAGTTCAAGACAGAACCTGTAGAAAGTCCAGAAGATGTTCTTGATCTACATGACATAAATTATATAGATTGGACAGATATTCAGGTTCCACAAGAGCCTACTGCCCCAGTGGAAGAAGAACGTGATTCGTCACGTGTTATTCTTGAAAAAGAACACCAGGCAGACATAGTTATATCAACTGACGGTTCTGGAACCAGATCCGTCAGAGTACCAGCAGCAAAAGGGACCGAGGTACAGGTGCCGGAAGTCAAAGGGCTAAGTCAGGAGCAGGATGTTCAACAGCCTGATGTTAGAAAATACCATGACAGCAATAAACATTCTACGTGCCCAATACTAACGTGTGGAGAATCGACCAAAAAGTTAAAACACCACTGCTGGCAGTATCACTTGCCATATATTTTTAAAGACCGTCCCTTGGATCAATTTGAGAAGGAGCCAGGTTTTCAAAAACTAAGAGGAGCAGCCATCCAGAAATCGGCTTCGTGGATTGTTGGTCCACGTGCTACAGTGTATGATTTGGTGCGTTACATAAATAGTAACAATATCTTGCCACGAAATTGCACAATGATGCAAAGATGCCAGGACCAGATGAGGAATTTAACTGCGGTAATGAACTGGTACCCACCAGCAGAGGACATTTATACGCTGTATCCTGTGAATTCGCCAGCAGTTCTAATGCAGTGGCGTATCCTAATAACACTGCTTTCACAGTTATCTCCAAGTAGGAGGGCGGAATTCCGCAGAATTGGAACTGAGTATGTGTTGCCCCCAAGACAGCAACAACAGTCTCCAGTAAAGAGGAAGGCGGAGATGTTGGTAAACCTACCACTGCCGAAATCCTATAAGAGCAGTCGTCCAACAGAGGGAAGACAGATGGTTACTCTATCGGGCAGGGCCCGTGAAATCAATCCACCGACAGTTAAAACTGTAGTGAAGACTTTAAGTAATTTACAGAGTCAGCATGCTGGCAAACCTATGGACGCCAGGGAAATTTTAAACAGGAAAAGACAATCCCGGGATCGATCCTTCCCGTTCAGAATCAGAAAATAAAAGCCGAAAGACGGATATGCCGGTTCATTCTGTTATACAGGTATCGAATCCTGCATCAGATAGTAACAATAACATTAAACGTATACAAAAAGTTACACTTGTGTCAGAGGCATTTGACAGCCATTTTCATTTAGACAGGGCCAGTATTTTACTCACAGGTTCCTTGGCGATGTCTGTGGAACAATATTTACAGGAGAAATTGATACCACCGCCAGATATTTCAGTTGAGGTGGTTGGAGGGGTAATGGTTTATTGTGATCCGGATACTTATCCGCAGGTTTTACCGGACACCTCCAAATGGAAAATTGCCATAGGACTGCATCCAAAAGCTGCCCCATATTTCTACAATGACCAATTTACAGCGATGCAAGAGGCATTATCAGACATGCGCGTATCTGCGCTAGGTGAAATTGGGTTGGACAGAACCGTAAATCCAATACACTGGGTGTCCCAAGAGAAAATTTTGGACAAATTGTTGGGTTTGGCGAGACCAAACAAACCAGTCATTCTGCATTTGCGTGGCCAGGCCACGGAAACAATGTCTGAAGCAGTTTACACCAGGGCTTTAGAAATAGTGCAAAGCAAATGCGAACCTGAACAAAAAATCCATCTTCATTGTTTTCATGGCAGCACAACACAAATGGACACTTGGCGTCGGGTATTTCCAAATACGTATTTTAGTTTTTCGTTAAAGGTAAAGGAATTCCACGAGGATCAGATACATGCCGCCAGGAATGTTCCAAATCATCGTATTTTAATAGAGACTGATTCGCCCTACTGCACAATTCCTTCCAACATACGGATTAATAATCCGCGGAGAATTGGACAAGTTGCCATGATTTTGGCAGGTTTAAGGGGTCAGCCAGTGGCTGAAATTTTTGCATTAACCATGGAGAATGGCAAAAGTCTATATGGCTAAATAGTGAACTGTGTTATATATTAGTTAAGCAGCCTGCAGGAGACAGGTTTATTCTGAAATGTAAATAGAGCAGATTCATGTGGACATAGAAAATCAGTTGTAAATTGTGATTGGAAATTACATCAGATGTGAATAGATTGTGTTTAATACATCTATATATATATATCAAGGAATGATATGATAGTTATAAATTAACTCCGCAGAGCGAAGACGGAGCAATTGTGGAATTTTAAAATATATGTATGTTGTTAATATGTCAACATTGGAAAATATATATAACTATATATATGGAGATTTATTTGTATCCCCGTGGTGCGACCAGACGGGGTGGACTAAAGGAAGATAGTGAATATTCGAATAGGAAGTAAACTCACTCCTTTCAAAGTGGGGGGGGGGGGAGTGTTGTGTAATATGGTATAATGGACGTGACATTACTATGTAGACAGTACGGTAGTTAGATATACCGCGTAGCCCGGTTCCCGGAATGATCCATGGTAAACTACCCAGCTCAGGATAAGATCTCAGATAGTTACCAGGTAACGAGAGTTGGCGTATTGGCGGGAATGAGAACGCTTGTACTAGAACTTAACCAGAGAGTATCAGAGTATATTTGGTAAGTTAGTACAATTAGGAGCATTTCATTGTATTAGAAGTATTAGTATTGAGTGATAATACTCGGAAATCACATCACCAATTTAAAGACAATAAAAAATACAACATTGCAAAAATTTATAAAAGAAAATGTAAAAGTGAAAGGAATATGGTTTGTAGAAAATAAGGTGAGGAAGAATTGGATTGCTATAAAAGAAAAGCAACAATTATTATAAACCGTGTTTGCATGAGGGAAAAGAAAATTATGTTGGAAAAATAAATTATTAGTTATAATACGTATCTACTAAGTAAACTACAATAATATGTAGCAAGAGTTATTTTAGAGACAATTAACAGACATATATGCAAGTTCCCCGGAATTAAGATAGCGTTATCATGACCTCACAAAATCTAGTAACTTAAGGCACTTTAATAAACAATCGTGGCAATCCATATCACAATAATATACACAGGTAAACGTGGGAAATGTGCTACGTATTTGATTGGACGAGGTACTGTTATTATTTAGGACGTTTACCAAATATGGAGCACATGGTATTTCACAATATACATTAGCTTTCAATTGAAAAAACACCCATGTTGTCGTTAATATTTGTTAAACGTAGTTTAAACTGCTTTGCTTGTGAACGAATATGTGACACGTTCCTATATTAATTTATTACATGTACATATTTGTGTGACTTTATAACTTTAATGTGCGATAAGTTTTTTGAACAACTTCATTTTGGATGTGCTGTTTACAGTTCTGCCGATTGGCGAATAAGTGATTTTTGTAAAGGAATTTTTTTTCGAAGAAGGTTGGTATTTTTTTTTATATTTTCTTTTTAAGTGTTGTGAAAAAAATGTCTTGTTACAGTCAACCAATTTGACAATATCCATCATTTACAGTGTAACTCTATGAGAATGATGAAACTAAGGCCACACCAAATTAATTTCTAGTTCTTCGGACACTTTCCGTAGCGAGCGAGCGAAATTTTTTTATTTGTTTTTTTTTCGAAGTTTGATTTTTGGCAGGCGAAAGCATTTTTTACTAGCGAGCGATAATATTTTTGAAATATTAAAAAAATAAAATCTATGAAAAGCATCTTGTGCAAGCGAGCGATCAGAAATTTACACAGTTTTGGTGCTTCATGTTTTTTATATTTCTCATGTCCTAGTTCCTATATTTCCCTACTTTGCTTCTTAATTTGTTCTCAAACACCCTGTTGAATCTTTTCACAACATTTCAAGTACAAAAATGGTTAACTAGCAGCAAAACCTACAACTTCGTGTAGTCTGCTCAAATAAAGATGCAGCTTAACGTGCAAATGTACAACAGCATTGAACAGGTAGACATCCATGTTTGATGTCAGTTATAACTGATGCATTATAAAAATAAGGAGATGTGGTATGGATGCCAATAAAACAACTATTCATCAGTTCAAATGAAATGAATATTTGCAACCGTACAGCCTTCAACAATGAAAAAACCTATACCGTATAGTCGGCTTTAAAAGGCCCTGACATGAAAAATATGAAACAATTCAATTGAGAAAACTAACGGCCTAATTCATAAAAAAACATTTACGAAAAACAAATTTGACAGACATGAACCAACAACAACCAGTGAACTACACTGAGCTCCTGACTTGGCACAGGCACATATAGAATGGTATGTCATTTAAAATAAGCGTATGCAAAGAATATATGCATGTATAAAGCTTTTATATACAACCATACATATTTGTGTATACAACAAGATGAAAATTTATAAAGGACTGTCCTTTAAAACCACACCAATTTATACTACTGCATATTTAAATGCATCACACCAGATGCTAAATACTAATTAAACAAAAGGCACATTTCAATACATTCCACTTCGTCATTGCTTTCCTAAAGAATTTTATATGATTGATTGATTGTTGGTTGCTTAACATCAAGTGGCAAATATTTCATGCATGTTCAGGACGAGAACAAATTAACAATAAATACAATGTGTAGGTCCTGTAACAGAGGCCGTCCAGGATGAAAGTCGGTGAAATTTGGACCGCCACGGGAAAATGGGGGTACATTTGACCGGGACAGATATTCAGCCTTGCAACAGGCCACTTACGGACCACTCAAACAGTTGTTACAAAGGTTCTTAACGTGCAAAGAGCGTGGCACTCTCTTTACACGAGGCATCAGATTTAACGTCCCATTCTGACCGGACGTGGCTGCGAACTTGTACATCCCGCACAGCCAAATGAACGCCCCACTCTGGTGAGGGTTTAACTGCCGGTTCGAGGAAGACCAATGGTGACCATATTTCTATTCCCCAGTCAGCCTTGGGGGAAAGAAGAACTTAACAGCAATCAAATCTTTATGTATATTGGGATATTGCTGTGTGTTGAAGGCCATACCACAAACACTTTCTTGTCAAATTCCATGCTTTATAACTTTGTAATAATGCAAGCAAATATCATATGAAAGCCGGTTTCATGGGAAAAAAACTTTTATTATAAAAGATAAAAAAAAGTAAAAAAATATAATACATGTAGTATCATTGCGGTGCCATTTCAATGCATGTACCGTCATCTTCGGAATTATCTTTTATTTTCATGCATGTTATATTGTCATCATTTAAATTTTTCAATTCGGAGGCGTTGGTGCTTTGTGCAAATTGTGGTCTTGCACGGAACACTTCAAACATATGGTTTAAAGAATTGTCCAAATCATTCCACTGCTGTGTTTGGTAGTAAGGTCGTTCGTTGCCTGCGTTACTACTGTAACTACAAATATCCCACGCATGTCTTACGTTTAGAATATACATCATATTATATTTGTCCATAATAAATAACGTTGTGATTGTTAGATCTATATCGTTTTTGATGTCAATTTCCGTGTATGTATGGCGTTACTTTCAAACGCACATCTGATTAAAACTTTGGTTACATAAATTTGGAGACAGACGCGCGCGGCTCCGTACTGGACGCGGGTTTTTGAAAAAAAAAATACCTTTTTTCTCGTCGACCTTTCACAACACGCGGGGATCCGATGAACGAGGTATTAATTTGGCGTGGCCTTAACATTTTTTCAATAAGAAGTTCCATGCCTTTGTTTAACTGTTTATTTCATTTGTTGTATAAATAATCTTATCTTTATTGTTCTGTCCATCTTACAATAATGATACCTTTTGCGTCAATTTTTAAAGGAAACCTAACTCCAAAATTCCTTGTTTTTAACGTTGGTGGCCATGTTGGTTGAAAGATTGTTTTATTAAACATGTTTAAACTAGATACCATACAGGATAATTGTGGCCAAATTTGGTTCTAACTATCCAAATAGTTTCAGATGAGAATTGTTTTTGTAAAAGTTATTGGACGTCGTACAACGGACGACGGACGCAACATAATGACACTAGTATACAATCTTTGCCTTTAGGTCAGGTGAGGTAATAACGAGTTTAAATCGAACTGACAATATCGCACATTTTAAACTAAGCAGTAATATTGCTTTGCTAAATTAATTGTTTTGTATATAGTATACGTAAAAAACGGGGCGATATAATATTTGTATTTTAAATAAATTAAAGTATATATTATTTTTATCAGATTTTTTAATGATTGTTATTTTGTCATAATCATTAAGCTTAATAGACGAGACCGATACTCCGACTATTCAACTAGTAAATGTGATTAAACATTTTATACGCACCTTTATCAATGAATCATAGGATCAAGGTTATTTTTTTAACCCATGTGTTATACCGTAGACAGTTTATCGGAAACGGGTTTTACTCGAGATTTAACTTTGTGACCAAAGATCTTATGACATACATGTAAACAAGTTTAGTACTAAGTATATTTTTTAGGTCAGTACTTATACTTACTGACGTCAATGATCGATGATTCATTACATACAAAGTACAAAGGAAAAATTGTCGTGTTTGAATGATCACACACAAGACTCGCATAGAGTATGATATAATTTTTTTGTTTAGACATTTTATCCAAACAATTTGATATTTAAAGTACGTAAACAAGTGGGAGTGGTATATTGAAGTGTTTACGGGTCTTAATTTTTTTGTTGTATATGACAGATGTAAATGGAATTTTTTTTTTATGTATTTTAACTTTTACAATTTATATTGCCATGTGACTTGATTAACAATGTGACGGCTGTATTTTCCGTTTCAGCCTTAGAACATTGATACCCTTACCAACTAACCATGCCTCCTACCCACGGAGAAATAACATATTGCAACTATATTCAACATGAGCACTATGTTAGACAAGGCGACTTCTGTAAAACATGTGACCAATGTTTCCCTGGATTAGGGCTGGCACCGTTCACGGTATATATGTTTTTACTTATAATAATATAATAAAAGGTATACACCAAACATCAACGAAATAGAATAAAAAGGTTTATTTGGAATGAAAGCTCAAACGATAAAAGGACGAACAAGAAGAATCTAATGAGACAGATCTCTAGAAAAACAAGAAAGGCATATCATATACAGTCAATCCTTAAACTAAATATTTCGGCAATACAAACTGAACAGAAGGGTGTGATGATAAACACAATTATCAAACAATCTTTAGACTATATAGTTAATCCAATACAGATCCTTTCCAGTTTTTTTTCAGTCTAACTTAATGAAACATATCTTAAGTGTTGTGTTCCATAAATGTATTAATAATTTATAAACTATATTAATTTTGATGTCAGTACAGCTAAGTATTTTTCTGTTCCAATGTCAATTAAGTCCCTTTCTATCACTAACATAATGCTGCCTTAGTTTTCAGAAGAAATTTATCATGTTGTCACAGCACCTTTTCTAGTAAGCTAAAACAGTTTTAAAATATACATTTACAATTGTTAAAAACGTGTTGATTTCTGTTTGTTGTTATTGTTTTACATATATTTTAGTGAAGAAAAAAAAATCAACTAAGCAATGACATGGTCTAAAGCTATCAACAATATATACAGGTAGAATGATTATAAAATGGAGATGCAACAATTTTATTAATGCATGTATATATTTATTTCAGGAAAGACAGTTTGAAATCGACCTAATGCATGGTGCTTTAGGGTGTCTTCACTGTATCCAATGCCCACCAGGTTTCTATAGCAACCACCTATCGTTTGAGGAATGTTTACGTTGTACAGATTGTAAGAAGAAAGGGGTATATGAAACACAGAATTGTACATCCAAACAAGATACAGTTTGTGGAAAAATTAAGCTAAAGTCAACCATGTAAGAAATAAGAAAGTTAAATAATTTACGGATATGTTCAATTTATTTGTAATGAGACAACATCTTAATCTTCATGAACCCGTTCGCTCATTTCATAATTGAAGATATATGTTGTTCAGCTGAAAACACAATAAAAGAAGCGATCCTTTAACAAATTGTGACACATAAGTTTTTAGTAAACAGTTTGGTTTCGTGTGCATGACTCCCTATCCCTATTTTGTTTACTTAAGACTTATAACCAGTAGAAAGGAAACACAGTATAGTTAAGATTGCTTGAAACAATGGCATTTAAAACTCGGCAAAATGAACTTTAAAAATTCTTTGTGTAACCAAATTGAAAAAAATAATTACCAAAAGAAAAAGCACCCCTCCCCCAAAAATATACTTTAAAAAAATCAAAACCCTTTTTGAAATAATTTGATGATTTATTGTTTTAGACATGACTCTCGGCAACAGATACATCTGACACCCATTATATGTATTTCTGTCGTTTGCTGTGTCTTAGCTGTACTGTTGGCTATTGTGGTGTATCGAAATCTCAGTGAGTATTTCATTAGTCAATATAAATACTGAAAGGGGATTTGTAAATTGTTTCTTGTTTTTCTAATGATAGTTTACAATTAAGAAGTTATATATAATAGGGGAAAATGCATTATAAATATTTCGATACCTTCTGTTTTTTCTCTTGATACATAAGGGGCTCTGGTCAATCTGATTAATTGGGATCCTAAAGCAGTATAGCGTAACCTTGACATTCATGATCATGAAGTAAGACGACCAACAGCTCATTTACATAACTGGAATTGTACGTATCCGAAATTTTATTAAGAAAAAACAACACATAACGCAAATGATGAGCAATATAATTGAATTTACAAATACACAACATGCAGTCCAATGAGTCCATTGACTTTGGACAATGTGACATTTCACATTTCCACTTGTGATATTGCTTTGCTGTATTATATATAGTTAGCTATACAGTTTAATTAAACAAAACTGACATGCTATTGTTAAAGGTATTTGCATGTCTTAAACTAACTCATTTTATTCTTTTGCTAGCTTTTGATTATTCACATTTGTCTAATTAAAAAAAATCATATTTTTTTCTTTTTATCTGAAAGGGAGGAAACGGAGAAATGTCAGAAATCAAAATGAAGAGACGAAAAGGTGAGTTTTTATCAAAAACGTATTCTATTATAAAAGTATAGGAAAGACGAACTTTTTATTGCTGGGATATTTTATTTTTTATGCCCCCGCCGTAGCGGAGGGGCATTAAGTTTTACCCTTGTCCGTCTGTACGTCCGTACGTCCGTACGTACGTCCTAAAATTGGTTTCCGTTCTCTAACTTTAGTAATTGCCTCAACGAAATGTTATGAAACTTATACACAATGCTTATTACCACAAAAAACAGTTTAAGTTTGAATTTGGGTAGCGTCACTTTTACCATTTTAGAGTTATGCCCTTTACAAATGGAAAAATTGCTGAATTTTTCGTTTCCGTTCTCTAACTTTAGTTTTCCTCAAACAAATGTTATGGAACTTATATGCAATGCTTATTACCACATAGATCAAGTATGAATTTTGATGGCCTCACTTTTACTGTTCTAGAGTTATGCCCCTTTACAATTAGAAAAATTGCCGAATTTTTTCTTTTTGTTCTCTTACTTAAGTTTACCTCAAGCAAATGTTATGAAACTTATACACAATGCTTATTACCACAAAACACAGATGAAGAACAGATTTGGGTAGTGTCACTTTTACCGTTGTTGAGTTATGTCTCTTTATAATCTTATATGCAAGCGGGGGCATCATCTGTGTCCCATGGACACATTCCCCATTTATTTTATGATGAAATCGTTAACTCGAGACAAAATGTTTTCAAATTAATTTATAATAGCTTTTACACTCCATGTGACATACCGAATTAGATTTATCACCGGGTTTGTACCTTATACGAGCAACACGACGGGTGCAACATGTGGACAGGATCTGCTTACCCTTCCGGAGCACCTTATATCACCTCCGGTTTTTGGTGAAGTTCGTGTTGCTTAGTCTTTAGTTTTCTATGTTGTGATTTGTATACTGTTGTTTGTCTTTTGATCATTATTCGTATTTTGTTATGGCATTGTCAGTTTGTTTCAATTTATGAGTTTTTTTAATATCCCTTTGGTATCTTTCGCCTCTCTTTTACGGCAATATGGGACTAATCAGTTGAAATATACCCTATTAGATGGTAAGTGATTTTAATTTTTCATCCAGTTTGAATCAGAATGGGACATAGTATAAGATCACTGTGTACCCTGACAAATTCTGTTCAAGAATTCAAAGTTGATAGAATTGTGTTAAAATTACAAAAGCGTAACTCATAAGTGATCCTGTCAGGCAAAGTTGACCTCAGACGGTCTGGACTCATTTGTTTTTTTTTTTTGCTTTTGGCTTTCAAACGTTTTACAATTTAGTCTTTCCCTACTTTAAGTCTAAAGCGAACCTAATAAGTTTATTCCAAAGGCACGAGTTGCAATCATGACTATCATATCCGTGCTTTACTGTGTCCAAAACATTTCTTTGTTATGAACACAACTTTGACCTCATTCGGTATTGATATATCGTGCCCAATGCCATATTCCGTGTCGACATGTAACGGTTGTAAACGGATGTGCTACCCGTAACACAGAACTATAATAAGTAACGCAGACATGTAATGAAAATTATGATTATTTTAATTTAACAGTGCTATTTCAAAAGGACTCTTAGCGGCAGAATCATCAGGAAATTCGTCATTGTCATCAAGTAAGACGACAGACAGCACATTTCTATCATCCAGTCAAGAAACAGTCGAGACAGATGGGGATGAAAATATATTTAATTCAAAAAGTATTGTAGATTCATTTATAGAAAGTTATGGTAAGTCATGCACATCATAAAAGCGTCTAAACTAAATAAAAGTGAATTTTTCAAAACGCCTTTGAGTAACAATTTATCAGTTAAATTAAACTTAAACAAGTTGGCCGTACGGTTGCCTATAATTGCTTACATCCACTTCATTTGAACTTTGGTGGATAGTTGTCTCATTGGCCATCATACCACATCTCCTTATGTTTATATTGTTTACTGTAAAATCAATTAGAAACAAATTGATTCAGACCTTGCATGCGATGTGAACAACAGCCTAATATTCAAGTAAATTATTAAGGAAAGGATAGGCTGAGTTAAAACCTAGTTTGCTTTACAATGACTCTGTTCACAGCTTTTTCAATTTGTTCCTAATGACGGATACCACTACTGAAACCGCTTAACCTTCAGACGCACCAAAAGACAACCCTGTTTTATTTTATGCTAATTCAGTAGTCTTTCTATTGTTCATATTCGACTTATTATTTAACCTCGTTCTACAAACATGCAATCAAACCTGGTATAATAGGGCCAGCAAATTATTCATCATATTGCATAAAATGAGGCGGAGGATACCAAATGGAAGAATCAAAACTCATAAGTCAAAGAGATACCAACAAAATCATGGCAAAAAACGAAAAAGAACAAAAGTCAAACAACAGCCTATAAAACACTTCTTTAAAAAAACTAAAGACTGAGCAACGCGAATACTACAGACAGAAGTGATATCAGGTGCTCCGAAATGGTAAGCATATTCTGCTCCACATTTGGCACTCATAGTGTTGCTGAATTACATATTGCTTCCTAAGTGTAATGACCTTTATTCATCTTGATTTTCTTCTTCTTAAGATGACAAACTCTGTTGTAATTTCAGATTGTACAATAGAGATATCAGAAGCACATGCACGAATAATAAGTAAGCATATTGCCGTGAACAGTATTTTTTACGATATCGGTATAGATCTAGGGATACCAGACAATGATATTAAAATTATTATAGAAAATAATAAATCTGATGTGAAATCCCAAGCATACGAAACATTACTCAAATGGAAACATTTAAAAGCATCAGATGCAACAATGTTACGATTCATCGATACTTTACAACGGTTGAAACTTCAAAAAGTAGCAAAGCAATTCTGTAATACATATGATGAAACGACTAGGCCATTTCGATAAACTGTGATATTAAATAAGTGTCCTGCCGCAATCAGTATTAGGAATGCCTCAAGATTGCGTTGATGCAATTCCAAAAAGAAATGTTTTATGAAAAAAAATAACCAAGGCCAGTGTTATATTGTTAAAATTTATGCAGCTAACATATTGATTGTAACATTGATATGTTTTATTTTTATGTTATATTTTTAAGTGAATAAAATAAAAAAAACTGAGATTATTAGTGGTTATTGAATAATTATACTGCAGAAAATTTGCAGAAAATCTCTTTACATGTTATAAAATGAATACAGCGAAATTGACTGGTATTTGGAAATACAACTTTAAATCTCGACTTAATAGTAAAACGAACTTAACCCGCTCCCTTTCATAACTAAAAAAGGGCGTCGGTGGCTGAGTGGTCTAAGTAGTCCAACTACTGTATCACTAGCCTGTGAACACTGATGTTGTGGGTTTCGAATCCCGCAATGGCATGTGCGTTCGACTCCCAAATTTAATTGACTCGACTCAGTTTTCCTGCCGAAGGTCGATGGTGCACTCCGGCTTACTCCGCCAATAAAAACTGACCGCTACGAAATAGCACAATTGTGCTGAAAGTGGCGTTTAACACCGATCAATCAATCAATCATAAATACTAAAATGAAAAGTACATGCGTTGTTGCTTTAATCATGCATCAACTCGTAGTTTAAAGTAATAGTTAACACGAAGAAGATGTCTAACTTATCGGAAAAGCGAACATATATTATACCTCATCACTACCAAGCTGATGACCTGGTAAAGTGATTCTGTTCAGCAGTATTGAAGAAATTTGTGACTTGTAAGTTCATTCACCATATTGAAAACAAATCAAAGTAGGTGTCTGACAGATCTGAAAATGGTCACACGTCACAACTCGTCATAGTCAAGCTGCTGACCAATGATGAAGTCATTCTGTTTAGAAGTACATTAACAAATGTGAAGGAAATGTTTGTTAGATGAACGAATATAAAGTGGAGTACTAGTATAATAATGACAATGATAAATGATAAACTTAACAAAATCAAAATGCAGAGCAAAATGTCAGGCAATTACTCAGACACGTGAAAATTTGTATATGAAACAAAAAGTAAAAACTGCTAAAACACATTAGAATTCGTAAATATTTCCTTTTGTACGAAAACACAGAAAGATAACTTTTTTCTCGCTTAACCATTTGGTTGAGATATGATGGTTTACCAGGCGTGACTATACTGATTGTATTATCAGCTACAAAACTGTTTTTGTTGCCGTCTCTGTAAATTGTATGTGTGTTTGAACGTTTATTTCAATTGAGTTGTATGTCTGTGATGTATGTTTACGCAGTTTTGGCTGCTGGGTCCCAATTATGGCCACGTTAACCAATGTTGTCTATTTGGGTTGCTCACCCAATTTGGCAATATTTTGGAACATTAAACAATTGTTATACAAGTGGGTGTTTTAGCTAGTTAGAAAGCCAGGTTCAACTCACCGTTTTCTTAAGAAAAATGCATGTGCAGAGTCAGGAATATGAAAATGGTTTTCCTGTGGGTTTTTTAAACAATTTTGTTCTTCCAATTTTTACAAAAATCAACAAGGATCTTATATTTATAGAAATGACTGTGCATAAAAATTAATGGAAATCAGATGAGACAATCTTAATTTTCGACATAAAACTTATGCAGGACGGAAATACGAGCATATAATGTTATAGGGCAACTAGTATGTGTGGTATTATCAAATAATCAGATCTAATGGCATTGAAACATCATAGCTCTATTCACAAACAAAAGTGAAGCGAAATAAGTCATGCATATCCAATCTTTTGCTATACCAATGACAAATACACAAATTTTCATGTGTTTAAAGAATGATCTGATCGTTTTCGTGGATTTTCGCAATAACGAATAAGCGTCAACAGATCTTTCACGAATGTTTTCACGATCATCAAAAAGAGGTACTCGATCTTTCACGATCCGAAATTTCAAATTTTTACAAATATTCCCATTTTTGCAAAGTTTCTGATTAAACTAAAACAAAATAACTTTGAGAATCATTTTAAACAGTAATATGGATAGACATTTTAAAGAGAAAAGTAGTTTATGCATTCAAAGTATGAAAAACAATCATGTTTGTTTACGTTTTTATATCTTTGAAATTTCGATGAGCAATCTGCCTTTTGTAGTTTTGTAAAAACGGTGTACTTTTAAATTTGATTTTTCTTAGATACTGATCATATATATATATAATGTTGAACTATATTGACAGACAGTTTTATGTTTTCAATATTTGTATAATTCATTAAACTAGATTATTTACTGACTTTTCTCTCGTCTTCTCGATAAGATTTCCTTCACGATCCTATACCAGACCTTTCACAATCCAATCGCAATAATGGACCACCGTTATTCATCCTTTCACGATCATTTTTCTCGATATACCGAATGACAGCCGTGATTTAGACACAAGTAAAATGCAATAGTTACAGGATTTAATACGTTCCATCAAATTGTTTCAATTTTGCGAATGTTGTCATTTCGATAGCATGACTCTCAATGGCGTTACTTTCAGAAAACATTTTTGTTAACAATTTGGCTACATTTAGGTAATTAGTTTATTATAGAAACCGAATTTTAATTTACTACCAAACATACAACTAGCACTTAAAGGGGCATTAGCTGTCAAATTCATGTTCACCGATTTGACTCAAATTCTAATATTTGATTTATAACATAGTAAAACGAATATCCAAATTACATTAAGTCTGAAATAAAAAGTTGACAATGCATGTACTCAATGATATATATCAGCATTTCGGGTGCATTTTAGTCTAGACGCCATCTAATTAACTATCGAGATGACCTCCGAAGACTGCCGACGGTCACATAACCCGATATAAACATAAACATAAATATAAATAGATAGCGACCTCGTGCAATTGGACTTCTTTTCTAAGCTTGTTTGATTTCATGTTATAGGTTAACAAAATAAATTAATCATCGTTTTTGTCGAGCCTGCTACTTTTGTCGCAGAAAGCTCGACATAGGGATAGTGATCCGGCGGCGGCGGCGGCGCCGGCTGTGGCGGCGTTAACTATCTTCTTAAAAGCTTAATATTTCAGAAGTTAGAAAACATGGATGCTTCATACTTTATATATAGATGCATTATGTTATGAAGTTTCCGTCTGTCATATGTCCATTGTCCTTGACCTCATTTTCATAGTTCAGTGACTACTTGAAAAAAAAGTTAAGATATTTTGTAATGTTTATTTCTCTCTTATTATGAGTAATGGGATAACTACATTTGGTATCAAGTCAAGTCCATATCTCAGATACTATAAGCAATAATTCTACTAAATTTGGTGTCTGTAATGATTGTAAGGTGCACATGTCCAACTGGCAGGTGTCATCTGACCTTGACCTCATTTTCATGGTTCATTGCTCAATGTTAAGTTTTTGTGTTTTGGTCTGTTTTTCTAATACTGTATGCAGTAGGTCAACTATATTTGGTGAATGGAAATATTTTACGATGTTCATGTCAGTCTGGCAGATTTTATTTGACCTTGACCTCATTTTCATGGTTCATTGCTTATGTTTTTGTGTTTTGGTCTGTTTTTCTTAAACTTTAAGCAATAGTCAACTATATTTGGTGTATAGAATGATTGTAAGGTATATATGTCTGTCTGGTAGGTATCATCTGACCTTCACCTCATTTTCATGGTTCAATGGTCAATGTTCAGTTTTCCTGGTTAACTTTGTTTCTTAGATACTATAAGCAATATGTCAACTTTATTTGATGCATGGAATGATTTTAAGGTGTACATGTCTGTCTGGCAGGGTTCATCTGACCTTGACTTCATTTTCATGGTTCATTGGTCAATATAGAATTTCCATGGTTTTGTCTGTTTGTTTTATACTATAAGTAATTGGTCATCTATATTCTGTGTATGGAATGGTTGTATTAAATGTGTACATGTATTTCTGGCTTGGTTTAGATTTAGTGCTTATAAACGCATGGGTCATATTTTAAATATTGTATATAAGTATATGTCATTCTTTCTTAAATATTTATACAACTATAGAACTATAGGTACTGAATTTCAGTGAATGTTATATATTAAAATGGGTACGTTTTTTGAGGCAAAAATGGCATATCCCTACCAAAAATATATCGAAGTTGACACCCCCCACCACCACACACACACACACACACTGGCTCAAACGCTATTGTAATATAGGCAAATATTCAATAAACATACATAATTATATATTTGCTTATTTGTTTTTATTAGATACACCAAGTTAAGGTCATTGTATGTTTTTTATCAAAGTTACAAGTACTCGTGCCACACAATCAAGTGAATAAGCAAAATTCTCTACATGTTTACTTATAACATCCGGGTTTTGAGGATTTTACTGTTTTTTTAAGTCGAACTATGACGTAGTTTATGTCCCACTTATTTTTTGTTTTCGATCAAGGACAATCTATGACCTTTAATTTGTAAACAAATTTTAAAGAATGAATGGTTATTTGGTGATCTGGACAATAATAATGATAACATTGGTTTGTTTTCAGTGTTTTCTAGGTGCATTATGGTTTTAAATATACAAACAACAAACATGTAAACTTCTTTTTTCCATGACGTATTTAAAGATATTTTTAGGTATTACACATAGTCATATGTAGTCATATGTTGAGATAAACAGATAAATGTAATAAATCAGAGTGACGTACATAGTAAAGGAATATATGTATGTACAATATTATAGTTCATTGAAATGATCTTGCAATACAATACTTATTGAAAACAAGTTTTTGATGCAATTTGACAATGCATGACTGTCAAAATCATTCCTTTTAAAAGGCTTCTAATTTAAAAGAAAAAAACTTTGTAATGTCATGCGTTCGAAGCGCTTTTCTGGATTTACCTTCATTAGGTACGCTTGAAAGCCAAGGATGTATAAGAACCGAAACAGTAGAAGAGCTGTATTACCAAATAGGTCAATTTTTTTCTTAGGTAGTTGACACCTTAATTTCTTAGGTTGATAGTTTCTAAATTCATAAACGGACAATTTAAGAAAGGTTTGTTATAAATCATGTTAGTTCCCAAGTACTGACTAACTACTGAGTTGATGATACTCTCTGCTTGATGACTATTTCTACGATTTATAATTACTTTATTAAGCGCATATGGATCAAAGGCATAATAACATACAAATGTCAATTTAAACAATATCATCATGACATTAAATAAAATAAAATAAATATCAAACACACAAGAAATGACATCAAGTGGCAAATGTCCTCAGTTCCATAATTGTTAATAAAGGAGCCTAAAAATATTATTTTATCTATATATCATCAAATGATTTCAGAAACCCTTTAAGAGTTAATAAAAAAACTAGTATAAACTGCGAAGATGTTCATAATTTACACCCGAAAGCGACAGCGGGAGATACTTGAATGTAGAAAATGTATATCCAAATTCCCTAAAATACCACGGTGATAAAGGTGGAAAGCAAAGTTTCATTTGATACCATAGAACAAAGTATATAATATATTTAAGCAGGGATGGACTAGGAAACTTTAAAACATATCGCCATTATCGGGTTTGCTAAAGAGAGGCGTCCAAATGAGAGGTGCATTAATACGCAACCGCGTCAGGTCGGAATGGGGACGGTGAATGCATTTGTCTTTTTTAAAGTTGGTGTTGCGTTCTTTGAAAGTTAAAGAAACCTTGAAACAACTCTTAAAAGGGTCTGTAGGTGTTGGAAAGCAAAATTTCTAACACAACTCAACATATATATAGCAGCTACTGCAATGATCTAATAAACTGTCAGTTGTTTAGTTGTTTTGAATAATTTATATTAAACCTTTTTACAAATCCCTTTTGTATTATGATTAGAACTATGTCCTCTAAAAATTCATGTTATGTTTCCCATTATAAGGTAACTTGGGACAATTTTGACTTCATATATTTACTATGCAATGTTAACGTTCAGTGATGCAACTCTAGTGTCAATGATTTCGTATATTACTCATTCAGGGTGATAAAACATTGAAAAAAATTACACTGTTGGTTGCTTTCTTCAAGTTGTTGTCCTTATTTTTTCCCCCGTTTACTTGTATATTTACCTTTTTTAAAAACTACATGTACTGACTTTATTTTACCTAAGTATAACTCTAAGGTACATTATTCACTAGATGCTGGTGATCCGTTAATACCCCCCCCCCCCCCCCTCTCTCTCTCTCTCTCTCTCTCTCTCTCTCTCTCTCTCTCTCTCAAAGAATGAAAACGTCGAGGAGAGCCAACCCTGCAAATATCCTATCAATGATATAACTTCAGTCTGCAGCCAGAATTGGTTTCTCATTAACTTGAATCGACTTTTATTCAAGACTTTATTTAACAGTAAGTTTGCGTATTTTGCAATAAATCATGAAAATCCAGAAAATTAATTTGACTTTTACTCTTTTCGGCAACGTTATAGATGCCACTAGTGAGCCAGGAATTGTTTATCCTTCCTGAATACAGCACCTGTTTTTGATTGGTTCATGTTGCTAAATGTAAGTATTAAGTTCTGCGTTATGTTTTTATATAAATTTTAGCCTGTCTCTTTATCTCCTGTTTAGCAATGGTGTCTATACGTCCGTTCTTCGTAACTTCATTATTTCTGATGGCCTCCCAGGTATGTTCTTACTTTTTATCTCACTTGGCCGTAGGCCATGGAAACTTTTACATTCGTTTGTTGTCTTTCCGTTTTCACACTGTGATCCTCTTCTTAGATTTCTTTACTTTCGTGCCGATTCGTCAACAAAATTTAACCGTTATTGTTTGTTGTCTGATATTTATAGGAAACTTTTTGTTCAAAGGACCTTTGAACAAATTGTAACACACCTCGACAAATATGTCCCTATGGATGCCCTTTCTTGTTAATGTCTTAACTCTGGTGTCGATCGAAATGTTGAAATTGTCGTCAAGGAAGTGAAAGTTTACTTTGAAACCATATACAATATTACATTTTGCTTTATTTTCTAAACCAAAATGCAGCTGTTGTGGTTTTTATACGACCACAAAAAAATTTTGCGGTCGTATATTGGTATGACGTTGGCGTCGTCGTCGTCGTCGTCGTCGTCGTCGTCGTCCGAAGACACATTGGTTTTCGCACTCTAACTTTAGTTTAAGTAAAGGATCTCTATGAAATTTTACCATAAGGTTCAATACCACAAAAGGAAGGTTGGGATTGATTTCGAGGGTTATGGTACTAACAGTTAAGGAATTAAGGACCAAAAAGGGGCCAAAAATAAGCATTTTTGTAACTTCCAGACATAACTTGTGTGTTAGTGTATGAATCTCTCTGACATTATACCACAAGGTTCCATATCACACAGGGAATGCTGGGATTAATTTTGGAGGTAATTGCCTCAAAATATTAGGAATTAGGGGCCAAAAAAGGGGCAAAAAACAAGCATTTTTCTAGTTTCATGACAATAACTTGTGTGTAAGTGTATGGATCTTTCTGAAATTGTACTACAAGGTTCCATATCACAAAGGGAAAGCTGGAATTGAATTTGGGGGTAATTGTCCAAAACGTTTAGGAAAAAGGGGCCAAAAAGGGACCAAAAATAAGCATTTTTCTAGTTTCCAGACAATAACTGTGTTCAAGTATATGGATCTCTCTGAAATTGTACTGCAAGGTACCATACAACAAAGGGAAGGCTGGGATTGATTTTGGGGGTAATTGCTTTAAAATTTTAGGAATTAGGGGCCAAAAAAGGGGCAAAAAACAAGAATTTTTCTAGTTTCAGGACAATAACTTATGTGTAAGTGTATGGATCTTTATGAAATTGTACTACAAGGTTCCATATCACAAAGGGAAAGCTTGGTTTGAGTTTGGGGGTAATTGCCCTAAACGTTTAGGAATTTGGGGCCAAAAAGGGGCCAAAAAACAAGCATTTTTCTAGTTTCCAGACAATAACTTGTGTTCAAGTGTATGGATCTCTCTGAAATTGTACTGAAGGTACCATACCACAAAGGGAAGGCTGGGATTGAGTTTGGGGGTGATGAATCATAAGGGGGTTCAAAAAATTGGGGGGGGGGATTTTTTTTTCTTTAAAATTTTCCATTTTAAATTGGTTATTTCTGATTTATATATAAAAGCAAATAATAATGATATGGTTTGAATAGGTAAATTAATTTTTTTTAAGTTCTTAGACCACATTCATTCTGTGTCAGAAACCTGTGCTGTGTCAAATATTTAATCACAATCCAAATTCAGTGCTGTATCAAGCTTGAATGTTGTGTCCATACTTGCCCCAACTGTTCAGGGTTCGACCTCTGCGGTCGTATCAAGCTGCGCCCAGCGGAGCATTTTATTAATTAGCTGAAATGAAAGAGAACTTCTGGTTCCAAAGAACGGTTGAACCAATTGAAGCAAAACTTCAGAACTATGTTTTTGTAAATGTCAATTTTTAAATGTACGTGTCTTATAAACATTGATGTCGATCGAAAATTCAAAATGGTATTCATGGAAGTTTTGTTGACGTAGAAGCATTCCATTTTCTTTATTTCCCAAAACCGATGAAGCCGGTGAATCGAGTTATATAGAGATTTAGGAAAGTACATTATGCTAATCAGACTAAACCATGGTGTTTCATCGTTCCTATTTGGCTTCAAGTGGCCAATAATAGGGTTCAATGATACATTTTTTAAAGAATCTTCTCAACAATCATCCAACCAATTGCAAGAGTCGTTGACTTAAATTTTCCCGTGAAGGTCGGTGATAAGTGGTGATATTTTCAAAAATTCGAAAAGGTCCCAGCAGAAGTCAAGTGTACATTGAAACGCTTTGAAAAATATCAAATTTATAAGAACTGATAAAAGGAAATGAAAACAAACGACACAGAAATGGTCTTTAGAACATATGATATTACTTTGATTCAAAAGAAAAGCCTATACTTGGGAAAATGCAACTAAGAGGACAATTCACTCATAGGAGGCTCTTAGTTTTGCAAAGTCCCTGATCATTGAAGACACGGGACTAGACTGCATACTTATACACAATTCATATTAACGGACAGTATAAAAAACCCATCCGTTATATTTATATTGAACGTTTTTATTCTATTTTTCAACAACCATCGATATAGAGAATCTATAGTTCAAAATAATAGGCGACCATTTTCTGTCTATTAGTTTTTATACGACCGCAAAAAATTTTTGCGGTCGTATATTGGTATGACGTTGGCGTCGTCGTCGTCGTCGTCGTCGTCGTCGTTGTCGTCGTCGTCCGGCGTCGTCCTGCGTCGTCCGAAGACACATTGGTTTTCGCACTCTAACTTTAGTTTAAGTAAATGGATCTCTATGAAATGTTACCATAAGGTTCAATACCACAAAAGGAAGGTTGGGATTGATTTTGGGGGTTATGGTAATAACAGTTAAGGAATTAGGGGCCAAAAATAAGCATTTTTGTAACTTCCAGACATAACTTGTGTGTTAGTGTATGGATCTCTCTGACATTGTACCACAAGGTTCCATATCACACAGGGAAGGCTGGGATTGATTTTGGGGGTAATTGCCTCAAAATATTAGGAATTAGGGGCCAAAAAAGGGGCAAAAAACAAGCATTTTTCTAGTTTCATGACAATAACTTGTGTGTAAGTGTATGGATCTTTCTGAAATTGTACTACAAGGTTCCATGTCACAACGGGAAAGCTGGAATTGAGTTTGGGGGTAATTGCCAAAAACGTTTAGGAATAAGGGGCCAAAAAAAAGCATTTTTCTAGTTTCCATACAATAACTTGTGTTCAAGTGTATGGATCTCTCTGAAATTGTACTGCAAGGTACCATACCACAAAGGGAAGGCTGGGATTGAGTTTGGGGGTGATGAATCATAAGGGGGTTCAAAAAATTTGGGGGGGTGGGATTTTTTTTTTTTCCTTTTTTTTCTTTTTTTCCTTTTTTTTTCTTTTAAAATTTTCCATTTTAAGTTGGTTATTTCTGTTTTATATTTAAAAGCAAATAATAATGATATGGTAGGAGATACACACCAAACAGGATGTGTAAATTATTATATAATAAGTATTGTGCAATAGCAAGAAATTTTCAATTGCACAGTATTGCACAATAGCAAGAAATCTTCAATTGCACAGTATTGCGCAATAGCAAGAAATCTTCAATTGCACAGTATTGTGCAATAGCAAGAAATATCCAATAGCACAATATTGCGCAATAGCAAGAAATTGTCAATTGTACAGTATTGCGCAATAGCAAGAAATATTCAATTGCACAGTATTGTGCAAAAGAAGATACTTCGTATAAATTGCTTATTTCTTGACCAATTTCAATGGGGTTTTATTCTTGAATTCTTGGGGTTCTTTAATATGCTGATTCTAACCGTGTATTAAGTTTTTGGATTTTGGGCCCCGTTTTTAAATTGGTCCACATTGAGGTCCAAAGGGTCCAAAATTAAACTTTGTTTGATTTCATCAAAAATTGAATTATTGGGGTTCTTTGATATGCCGAATCTAACCGTGTATTTAGATTTTTAATTTTTGGGTCCGTTTTCAAATTGGTCTACATTAAGGTCCAAAGGGTCCAAAATTAAACTTAGTTTGATTTTAACAAAAATTGAATTCTTAGGGTTCTTTGATATGCTGAATCTAAGCATGTATTTAGATTTTTGATTATGGGCCCAGTTTTCAAGTTGGTCCAAATCGGGGTCCAAAATTAAACTTTGTTTGAAAACAACAAAAATTGAATATATTGGGTTCTTTGATATGCTGAATCTAACCATGTATTTAGATTTTTGATTTTTGGGCCCCATTATCAACTTTGTCCACATTGAGGTCAAAAGGGTCCAAAATTAAACTTTGTTTGATTTCATCAAAAATTGAATTCTTGGGGTTCTTTGATATGCTGAATCTAACCATGTATTTAGATTTTGGATATTGGACCATAATAGGTGAATGTCCAATTTAAAATTTTTAAGTTCTTAGACCACATTCATTCTGTGTCAGAAACTATGCTGTGTCAAATATTTAATCACAATCCAAATTCAGAGCTGTATCAAGCTTGAATGTTGTGTCCATACTTGCCCCAACTGTTCAGGGTTCGACCTCTGCGGTCGTATCAAGCTGCGCCCTGCGGAGCATTTTATTAAGCTTTGGTATTTTAGCTGTTAGATATTAATTTGATCGGTATCAAAAAACGTTGATTGAAAAATTAGAATCTTAAGCACATATCTTTCCCAAATCAAAATTATATTTTGAATAAACCAAACACTGGCAAAAGTCACATATCAAACATTAAAGACAATGCTACAAATGAATAGAATGCGAAAACACATAACAAACACCGTAACAACGATTTAACATCTTGGGTAATACATATGACGTCAGAAGAGAGGTAACCATCGTATTGTAATAGATATTGTGTATGTCACATGCTTATATGTTATGAATGAATGAGATTACGTAGTCTACACTAAATTTATAGTATACAAACATATAGTAGTACGTTTAAAGTTATGAATGATTTATAAAGTCTTCAGCACGACAGGTAGGAATCTGTTAAATAATTATATTTTGTCTGGTCATTTTGGTTCTAACGTAAACATCACTGCATTTTATTGTTTAAATCTGATAAAATTTACTATTTCAATTGATGTATTAGATACACATTGAGGGTGTTAGCCCGAATGGGTGTATCTTATTTGCACCAAGATAGTATTGTCAATGCAGAATGATGGTTTTCAATAATTTAGGAGAGAGGTCTTTCAGCGATTTGACCATATGTTATTGAAAAGCATGATAAATGCAGAATATCCAATTTCATTTAACGACATATTGGTGTAGGTTTTCGTTATAATAACTTTTACACATTTCTTTTATCAATACCAACTCAATGAAAAATGAATGAATTTTTTATTCCATATACATATAAGTGAAAAACACTCATATGAAAATGTTTTGGACTTTTTTTCAGGTTCAGCATGTCCTTCATTTTATCTGTCTTATTGATAAATCTGGAAATTGTTCGGACAATTAAGACTGACATATACTGCGATTATAGTAAACATGAATCCTATCTACCCCAAGGAGACTTCTGCAAGAGATGTGACAGATGTCCTCCTGGGTTTGGTTTAGAGCAACTGAAGGTAAATACATTTTGATTTAAAAGAAGGGATTGAATGTGAAAGTAAGTTCGACATGCGTGTCGACAGGGTAAGTATATAAGAAGCTATGAATTCAGCGCCTGTAATGCGGTCGATGCATACTAGTATGTACTATATTGATAGACTTTATGAGATTGGTAGAAAGCAAACAGTTTAATTACGATAATGATGCCGTTACATGAAAACAAATTATAACAGACATATGGTACATTGTATCCGCACCCAGTAAGAATTTGCAACCGAATTTATCCAAGTCTTTGTCATTAATATCCGTTGTCTTTCCTTCATAATGCTGTTGTTGCTGTTTAGTAATTAAACATATTACATTTCTGATATATATCCTGAATCCAAAAAAATATTTTTAAATAACAATTACTATACCTTCATATTTGCTTTGTTTGAAGGATAGGAAAGTTGAATTTGATCCAGTTCATGGTGCCTTGGAATGCAGACGCTGTGTTGTTTGTACTAATGGATGCTTTAGTCATTCACGATCATTTAAAGAATGTAAACTTTGTAGAAATTGTACTAGTGAAGGAAGGGTGGAATTGCGACAATGTACAGAAACATCAAATGCAAAATGTGGAAACATTCTACCAGACATGTAAGTAATTGGTGAATAAATATGTTGCTCTCTATATCGAACTAATTCGAAATGACCAAATGACCAAACAAAAGAATACTCATGTTAAAGTCAGTAATGGCAGTCAAAACAGTAGGAGATAGGCGACCCTTTCTTACTTGTTAATATATGCTATTGATTTCTAGTGAGTCGACAACAAAAATAAGTGTAAACACTTTACAGAACTTAATGAATCAATATTATATCAAAAAAGTCTAGGAAACACTGTTTTGGTCTGAGGGAATATAATTGCAATTCATTCATATGTGTCTTGTTTCCATCTATTAAGGATAAATTTGGTCAGATAACGAGATTTTGACTAACGAGGTGATCAGCAAACACATGAACTGTATTTTTGCATATACCAAGTATCGTAGTGCTACTTTACATATTTTGTCATTTTTATCATATTCTAATCGATGAATGTGACCTGCGTAAAGCAACCAATAAATGTGATAAATAAAAGATTGGAGATACCAAGGGACATATAAACTGACAAGGTAAAGAGAAACTGACACCGTCATGGCAAATACAAAAATCGAATGACTACAAAATAAAACCAATTTCACAAAACATTACATATAAAACTCTGAACTTAGTAAAAGGAACTCCACAAAATACCAGAGGCAATTTCAGGTATTCCGGCAGGGTAAATAGAATCTGCTTCACCAGTTACAACTTTTATGTTGCTCATGGTAATTGTACATTCGGTGATAAATGAAAACAAGATGTTTGATTGAACCAAATATTATAACGTGTCAATATCTGTTATTTTCACCTTCAATGTTTCTATGGAATTTGTATATTAGTATGTTGTTTTTATTTCTTCAAATCTAGTTCACGTCAAGTTAAAGGAAAAGATTTGCTAAAGTCTGAAGTGGTACATGTACCAAACACAGAAGATGGAAATGGTAAGGTGTTGTTCTTTGAGCTTGGGATAAATTTTCTATAACCATTGGAACTTAAAGGTTCATTAGCTGACAAATTCATGTTCACCGATTTGACCCAAATTCTAATATTTTATTCATAACATACTAAAACGTGTATCCAAATTGCAAAAAGTCCAAAAGAAACAATAAACAATGCGCGGGCTCGCTGTAATGTATGATCATTTTGTGCGTAGTATAGACAAGACGCCATTTAATTGTCCATCGAGATTATCTCCGAAGACTGCCAACGTTCATTTAACCCGATATAATCATAAATTTTAATATAAATAGACAGTGAGCACGTGCATTATATTTTTCTACGTCTGTTTGATTTCTTGTTATATGTTAAAATATATAATCACCATTGTTTTACCTGTAAAAGAATGATTTTTTGACTTTTGGCTTATAAGTCCATGAAATGGTTAATCCTAGTGTCTCCATTGTTTTACTTTTCAAAGTTGGCATTGTTTTCTTTTTTCTTTAATGAATGAACCTGCGCAACCCATCTCCTCTCAAATGTGCTGATTTATTGACTTGAAAGTCAATAATACACCAGTGATATGTTTCAGCTTATTTTGAAGAAATTGAACCAAAATGACTGCTAATAGAGAAAAATTATTTATTATTCCGCTTTTTAAAAATGTTCGAGACTAAAACAAAATATATTTTGAATTTGTTGAATGCTTAGTTAATACCCCTTAAAGATATAATAAATTATTTTTCAATATTTCTTACTAGTAGGTAAAAGTCAGATTTGACGATTCCGGAATGCTAAAATCTCGCACATTGCTACATTCTCTTTTATCAAATAGTATCAATATTTCACCTTTCGGCCTATGTATAGAAGTATTCAATAACCGTTTCTAAGCACATGGTCTAGACTACGTTGAGACCTGATGACAATCCGCCCGACCATAATACAATAATATCGAAAGCGCTGAAAAAGTTGACGAAATGTACATTATTAACGCAATAATACATTTATAAACGTAAGATGTAACTTCTGTTTCTAATTGGTTTTCTTTTACAGAGATTGTATATGTTCTAGCCGCTGTCATAGCTTTATTAATAGTTACCATGGTAACTACAATATCACTACTTTACAACCACAGAAAACGATTAGGTGAGTTTTAATTTATTGAATGGCTCTCATGCTAAACCAGTATACAATGTTTATTGACTTTTTGTGTTGTTTAAATGTAGTCGTTACCTAGAAATCGTTTCTGGTGTGTGAAACAAAGTTCTGGAAGTATCGCTCGTCTAAACACATCACAGGAGTCTCGCATGTTCATTATGAGTAAGAGAGAACTATAGTTGTATATTTTGGAAACCCATCATCTACACTTAACACGGTCAACTAAAATAAGTTTTAATGTTTCTCGAAGGTGCACTGCTACGAAGTAAAATCAACAATACTACTTAAAACTGTCTTAAACATTGTCATACAAATTTATATATAGAAAGAGAGGCGAAAGAAAATAAAGGGATATTCAAAATCATAAGTCGAAAATAAACTGATAATGCCATGACAAAACAAGAAAAAAATCAAACAACTGTACACACAATACAATATAAAAAACTAAAGATTGAACAAGACGAACCCCCGGGGTGATCTCAGATGCTAAAAAAGTCCTGGAATATGTCTATGTCGTTACAAACGTACATCATCGTCATTTGAACTCTGTTGGATAGTTGTCTCATTTGTGATCATACCGCATCTCTTTACTATCAAATGGTTATAATGTAACATATTATACTTGCAATGGCAGAACAAAAAAATGTAGACATACGAGGAGACTAAGCCTCATTTATTTGAATATTGATCTCTGTATTTTTCCTAATTTAAGACATTTGGGTATTTTGTAGGAGTATGTAAAAGAAAACTTGTTATCGACAAGAATATCATCTATTCCAAGGGACATATTGAAAGGTATAGATTGTTTATTTGTAATATATGAGTCGCGTCAGATAGAAATCAACCTTGTGCAAATGAATATCAATACATCTGTTTACTTATATCGGGTTGAAAAAAAGAATTGAAAATGGAAAGGGGAATGTTTCAAAGAGACAAGAATCCGACCAAAGAGCAGAAAAAAGCACAAGGCCACCAATGGGTCCTAATCGCAGCTTCAACTGGTCCCTATACAATTTGTGTGTAAATCAAAAACAAAAGAAAGTTCCTATTCAGGACGATAGCAATTTCATATTGATATACTTATTGTTCTCAATCAGAATCTGGTAGAAATTTCAATCTTTTTTCATCCGTCATGTAAATTTAGTTATTGCTGAATAGAGTCATCAGCTTACAAAAAACACTGCCCTAACTAGCTTCGGATAAGCTTTCAAAATATTACCTACCGTTTTTGTTTTAACAGAGCGAACACAGAACAGAATCGAATGTTGGTACCTAAATACAATGACAACTCTGTGATTTGTGATTTGGAAGAGGATTGCGAGAAAATTTCTTTTCCTGTTCTTGAAATTTGGAAGAAGAAACATGGTATGAAAATTAGTTTTGTCATTTACATGGAATCTGGCAGTCTGTGTTGCCTTGAAGTCTAAGGGACACAACTCAATCACAATCATATATCGAAGAAGTAAGGCATATTTTAATTGAAAGCATAAAACTTCAAACATATAAAACTCACCGCATTTTGCTAAATTTATTATATCTTTGGCGTTTATGAATTGGAAAGAAATATATATATATAAAATATATACAAGTCTAAATTGAGAACAACGTTCAAACCTATGATTGCGTTGGATAAAAACCGCAATTTTTATACGTGTGCATGCAAAACAAATTTCTTGGAAGAGAGGTCTAAATACAGCACAAACAACATTTTCCAAAAGACCAAATGAGTGAAAAAGTATATTTTAACAAAACGCATTTGACTAGCAGGTCGAACAACTGATGTTCTTAAACCCTGCTGATATATATATTATAAAAACTGGAACACAAGTTTCCATACGTTTCGGCCATTACGGCCTTCTTCATTGGAACGTTAAGGCCGAATAGTATGGAAACTTGTGTTATAGTTTTTACCATACAATCAATCAGAGACTTAATATATATTTATTTATTTTACACCTTTGATTTGCTAGTACTTGATTTGCTAAATTAATTTTTTCTAGGTCATAATGAATCTCTTGATGATGAACATATCTTGTTTCTCAGCAAACTTATCGCCACAGACAATACATTTCAAAAACTTGGAATACAACTTGGCATTCCTGAGAACGAGATAGCCATTATAAAAACGGATCATTCTGGTGACGTTTCCAACCAGGCATATTATACTCTTCACAAATGGCGTACGCTTAAAGGCAAATCAGCATTTGTACTGGTAATTTTAAATGAGTTACATGAATTGGAAAGGAACGATATCATTGAAAAGTTCTGTTCAGCGCATCGATGACCAACATTTGGTACTACAACTGTGAAAAAAAGTGCAGCTAATGCTTAAATCAGGATTGTCGAGTACATAATACACATGAATTATCATGAGTTAAGAAATGCCGACACAATGGAATATCTGGTTCGCGATGAACAAGAAATAAAACTCGGAAATGCGACAGGTGTTCAGCTCCATATCAAGACAAATTTGATAAAGAAATGAAATATTCAAAAAATATGTTTCCTACATATTTCTGAACTTATTGTTTTAATTGCTACGTGTGATATTTGTTGCAAAAGTTAACGCTAAAACAATTAAAATATTTTTACTTGTCTTCGTTTTAGTTTTTTTTATAGAATATTATATACTTATATGTTGTGTGTTAATTGTAATGCTGTACAAATTAAAATTTGTTTGAACAAGTTAGCAGTACTTTGTGAACATTTTAACATTATTAGATAAAACGAGGGATTGTCTTAAGTTTGGTTTAGCTTATTGCTGTCATATTTTCATGGCTATAAGCTACAGTCTTATACAAAGCACGAAAACAAAGTTAAAATTAGAACACCTAAATATATTTTGTTAGACATAGAATCTTGTACCGTAAAATGGCAAAGTAATAAGAGAATCTTATCAGTGTCCTCATTTGCTCAATGTTAATACTAACCGAACAGTGCTCAACGTTAGGTTGAACTATATATATTGTTGATTAAAACATCCAGCGGATGAAATATTTATGATAAACTTGTATTGCCTAGTGAAAAAAGGTATGACTGCGCTTAACTACTGATAACTTGTACCAAAAAATCTAATTTGTACAAAATTACACAATGTTCACAGTTCATATAGCAAATGGTTTTTACTCCCGGTTTAAATTTTTCCTACTTACTACTTATATGATGTTCATAGAATTTGTAAATTGATATTTATACATTAAGTTCACTGAAATATCCAAAACATCACTACAGACACCGGAATTGTGAATATAACAACATAAAAAGAAGATGGAAAAAAAGTTAACGTTAACATCATTATGAGAAATAAGCAAATTATATACAGAGAACGAAAAAACGCCTTTTTGAGTAGATTATCCATTGCAAAACAGAAATATCAAATATAACAAACGGACCAGTTCTCTTGTGTAGAACTAATATTAAAGAAATCTTAATCATCAAAAGCAAAAATATCACCAAGGTTAGTGATAAATAGTATTCACGTTTTCTATTAAATTGATTTGCATTCGATATTTGTTAATAATTTATAACAACACAGAAAAATGTCTGCTATTCAAAAGTCGAAATTTGCGTCCATAAGAATTCCTACATCCTTCCGATAAACTTTATTCTCGAAACAAGTATTGTTGTCATTGAGAAATTTAACAGCTGCCATCATCTCTTCACAGTTACACTTATGTGTCATGAATGGATATCCAATATCCCTTTTGATCTATTCTTGTATATAGTCAGCAGCAAATTTGTAAGTTAAAAAATAAGTTTGTTTCCATTAAAAATAGTCCATGTCCTCTCCTCACAAAAGATGTTTTCTAAATAATTTTTGAAATGCGGTTCGCTGGTACGTAATTAAATAACACTTTATACATTTCGTGCGTCCAAAGCACTTTTATAATATCTGTGTTCGTTTTTATGTATGTTGGCGTTTGTTTTTGTTGCACTTCAGTGTTTCTGTTGTTCCTGTGTTTTCCCTTATAGTTGATGTGTTTCCCTCGGTTTTAGTTTGTATCCGGATTTGTTTTCTCTAGTTGCTTGGATAACAAAGGAAACAATGTAACCGAAATCCTTCTTTAAATGGATGATGTTTGAGGGTGATTATTCGTCACTAGAGCTTTGCAGTCTTCTTACGCAAGAAATATTGAAGTCAATGTTCAAAGGATTAATCGTGTATTTGAAACAATCTTCAAAACCACGGACGTCCCTTTAGAAAGTCATACATCTCAGTTGAATGGACGTAAGAGATATTGTTCATATTTGAAACAACAGCTGCTTACGATGAGTTAAATATCAAAAACATAAAGTAAAGTAATTGTAAGAAGCCTTTATATATGATGCACGTTATTCAAACATTTTGGGAATATTGAACTAACTTGTATATATTCTAACACCTACTTTGAAACGTTCATTTTGGCCTTTGTGCTTTAAATGGTCACCTGTATGTACTATACATCATAAGCGATACTGTGAGAATTTTTTTTAAAAACACATTTCGTGCGCACCAAAATAGCTGTCAAAGATATATCTTTATATAATTTCACAATTTGTATGATTATTTTATACATGTACATCTGTTTAGATCTAAATAAAACTTCTTTCACTTCGGGACAAACTTAAAGCAGCACTAGCTACATGATGTTTTTTTGTTCAATCATTAATGAAAGTGAAATAGTGAAATAATAATTCGCTTTTAGCAGCCAGTATGGTTCAATTTTGTCAAAATAAGCTGAGAAACATTGATGATGAATTATTCACTTGCAAGTGAATAATTCGACCTCATTGAATCCGTATTCATGTGAACTTCAATTTAACCCCTAAGTTAGAGATGGATAACGCATGAATGATACGTGTTCAATTATTTAAAGGAAAAGAATGTCAACATTGAAAGGGAAAAAAGGTAAACCATTTGATTGACTGATTCGATCCACAAAATATCATTCTTATACAGGTAAAAACGATGATAAACACATATTTTTAATCTATAAAATGAAATTAAACAGACCTAGAAAAATCCAATTGCACGAGTTCCTATCTATTTGTATCTATATTTATGTTTATATCGCTTATATGACCATCGGAGGTCTTCGGAGGTCAACTCGATAGTAAATTAGATGGCGTCTAGACTAAAATACACACGAAACGAAGCTTAACGAATGTTATCGAGTCCATGCCCTGTAAATTGTTTATTTTATACTTTTTTATAATTTGGATAAATGTTTTACATTGTTATAAATCAAATATGAGAATTTGAGTCAAATCGGTAAACATGAATTTGACAGCTAGTGCCCCTTTAAGGCAAAACATTAAATTTATTACAAACATCACATGACCATAAACAGTTTAGATAAGATGAAATCTTAATTTTTGTTCTTGGAAATTATAAACCGAACAGTTGGTTTAAAGTGTGTGTAATCTTAAAATGATTTTATTAATTTATTGCAGTGCCTATTTATGTATGGTCCAGTTTACATCAGGTACAGGAAAACTAATGTTATTTAAGGTTAATGCATCTTTTTTTTTTTCTTACAGTTTTATGTGAGTGAAAGGTGATTTTATTGAAAAAAATGCTGTGGCCAGATAAACATTCAAACTTTGATGAGATATCGAAAAATTCTTAAAGTTGTGCTACTCAAACTTTCTGTGTACTTGAACAAATCTTCGGAACGACAGTTTTGAATTTTCGATACAAATTTAAAACATACAATATTAGGATTATACTGTGACTAGTTTCTCCTCAATTTGTAAAATAAAGATTGAAGGAGTTTTCGATCCAATACCGGAGGTACACTGCGGTAGGGGAATGAACGGACTTCCTATTTTCCTTTAAAAATGTCTTTGTCATAGTATAGGGAAAACTGACTTTAATGTCAAATTATTCAGACATACCGTAATAAGGAATAAAAAGAATACAATCATGCAGCAAAGTAATTTTATTTTGATAAAAATCATAAAAAGTTGCAAAGTCATGGCAGGAGAATCAGTTTGTTGAATGTGGCCACATCCTCAGTTAAATGTAACTGTGCACGATTAAAAGCCTCACTTTCAATTTTGCTCCCGGAGAGGACACATCGCCTACCTCCAATGTAAATATAATTTTATTTCTTTTGATCGGAACATTATGTGTTCCCCTTATTTAGGACTTGATTAGTCCTCGTTTATGATGTGATTTTTCTTAAGGCTTTGATGAAGTCTTGGTTATATTTAGCCTGATTGGCACTTGAGATTGGCAGTTCTTTGTTTGCCTGTCACTTGAGGTCATTTTTATTTAAAATGTTGGCTTTTATTTTTGAATACCGTTATATTCTTTACTAGTTACTATATTATCTCTATAATATAGTTGGGATTAATATGTTCCTTACAGGACGCTTTTCTAATTTTCTAATTTTCTTATGACTATATTGCTTTACCTTTTGTTTCAGATGCCACCTGCCACGGTCCTAAAAAGGAGGCATGATTTGAAGTCGGTTAATAATATTGGTCTGAAGCTCCTTAAGAAGTTTAATGATATTAGAATTCCCCCAGGACAGAGCTAGGGAGAGTAAAGTCTCTAGTTCGAATAAAGGACTTATCAGACGATGACTGCAAACGTCATTTCACGAGTATTACTGGGGAGGATGCAGCGTAGATACTAGAGCTTGCGGCTGCACCTGTTAACGGGGATAACTTGAAGAAACTCCTACATGTAACGGTCATCCTAGCTAATGAGATAGGGCAACCGGCGGGGGAGGACCTGCGTCATGTAGAAAACGAGGTAAATATATATATTTTATCTAGAGTTTAGTAGAAACCTTCTTCGATAGTACGACCTTGTAGAGCGTCTCCGGTTAGTGACCTCCTTTATCAGCTAAAAATTTGCTCACACGTGAAGCCGCACCCCCTTTAGATTTATCTGTTGTTTTCGTTCTACAGTTATGTACGTGTGCATAAAAAAACAGATGTAATTTCGATGTTTTTTCAAGGTTACATTCCCGGTTTTGTTTTTCATGTTTTAACATTTATGACTTTTCCCCCTAAGGTTTATTATGATTAAGCACGCTTATTATATTTTTTAAATGAAAATGATAGTAATTAATGTTTTAATGATTGTAGGATTCGGGAGATGAAGACCCTCCTCCTAAGAAGAAAAAGAAGAATCATGATCTTCTGCAAAGAGTAGCAGATCTAGAAAAGTCAAAAGAAGATAACGTTAAAGAGTTGAAAGATAAGGTGAGGAGTTTAGCTTTACAGGCAAACCCCAACGAGCCTCTAATTCTCCTTAGTCTTGACGAGTTGGCAAAAAAGGCCAGAAGGCAAAACAACTATGATGCAGAAACATTCGATGAATTAGCGGGACAAGCGCAGAGACATCAGGGGTCGATAAATGTTGCCACTCTAACGTTGAATGTTCTGTGGGGAAAGCTTCTGATTTAGTGGGAAAAGCAATGGCAAAATGTCTCAAGGAGAAGGAAGTGGAACAAAAGATCACTGGTAATAAAGCTAATCATATTGAAAAAATGAAAACCACTTCTTCCTTGGCTAATGCTTACCCCCCTGCTACCTGTCTGCCTAACTATTTCATGCCTCAGATGCCCACTGGATGGCAGCAGGGAATGTTTCCCTTTAGTA